GGCGGTTATTTCCATTGTCAGTTATTATTTGTGCGTTGTTGGTTTTTTTTTTCCTGGTGTTGGTTACGATGTTTTGTTCTTCTGAACGTTTTCGTTTTTTGTTATGGAGTGTTTTTAGTGGTGTAAAGATGGTGTGTGATTGTGAGTTTGTTTGTGCGTTTATGAGTTTTCCGCCTTTAAGTGTTATTTGTTTGTATATCTCGAGGTTCTCCAGTATGTTTAGTTTTCGTCCTTTTTGTGCGTTGGGTATTAATGTCATGCTTATTTCTATTGTGTTTGGTTCGTGGTTGTAGTGTATTAAGTGTGTGGCGTAATTTGATTTTCCGTCATTGTCTCTGAAGGATCTAAGATGTTCTTTGAATCGATCTCTTAGTTTCCTTCCAGTCGGTCCGATGTAAGTGTATCCGCATTGACATGTGATGCTATAAACACCGTTGTTGTCAAGCGGGTTAGTTGTGTCTATGTTTCTTTTTAGTAGTTTACTAGTTATTGTTGGTCCTTAGTGCTGTTTTCAGTCCGAGTTTGTTGAACAGATTTGTTAGTTTGTAGGTTTCTTTTCCTGTGTATGTGAATGTTGTCCATTTGTTGTTGATTTGTGTTTCGTTGTTTTGTTTTGTTTTTTAGAAGTTTCTGTATGGTGTTTATTTTGTAGCCGTTTTTTATTGCAATGTTTGTTATTGTTTGCAGTTCTTTGTTGTTGTGTTCGGTGTTGAGTGGGATTGTTTTTAGTCTGTGTATCATGTGTCGCAGTGCTAAAGTCCACAATCCAACCACCCACACCAACACAAACTTTCAGCACTGCGACACATGATACTCAGACTAAAAACAATCCCACTCAACACCGAAAACTACAACAAAGAACTGCAAACAATAACAAACATTGCAATAAAAAACGGTTACAAAACAAACACCATACAGAAACTTCTATTATTCAGTATTATTAATAAAGAAATTAATTTGCAAGATTATACTCAAAGAATCAAAAGATAACTATCGACAAGGCGCAATCGTGTATATACCTCCAGACCCCCTCCCACCAATCATCGTCATACTTTGTCGGACTTATCCCACTTCTGTAAAAGCTTTTTAGAGTAAATTTATTCCAGTAAAGCTTTTAAGTCCCATTTAATTTCTCCTTGTCTTGTGAGAGTATGTAACACGTTGAAGATGTTGCATCGGGGCCTTAATGGAAATCAGCGGTCGTACGTCGTGAACCGCTCTCGACCGCAATCCCAAAAGATAGCTTAATAGCTTTGCCTATGTCTTATTTACTAACCGCGGAAAAGTGTCAAAGAAAGTAGTTTCAAAGACGTTTATAATTCATATTTAAAAATAATATGCGCAATTATGATTTTGGAAAATTTCAAAGATTTCTCAGTTCAAAAGCCTATACGTTTAGGGCATAGTAACCTTCGCTTATATCATAGATAAGAATCTTTTCGTCGTCCATAACATCATTTTCAGTTCTAGCACATAAAACTAAATATACGATGTTTCTAAAAACTCCAGTAATAAAATTTTTGAAGTTCTTTTAGACTTAGCCTTATTTAATACATTAAATGCACTAATTTCGTGGTCCGCTTGACCAATTAATACATTACAATTAATTAAGGCTTTTAGTTGAGATAAAAAAGCAATGGCACGAGCGGGATTCGAAAAATGGCAAAAAGGAGGGAAAACTCATAAAGTGGGGTTGAGATAGGAAGTTGATGTCCGAGTGGATCGAGGTCACGATAGCTCAAGTGGTAGAGCAGCGGCGTATCAAGCCGAAGATCGTGGGTTCGAATCCCGCTCGTGCCATTGACTTTTTTATCTCAACTAAAAACCTTAATTAATTGTAACTTATTTAATACGATTTTGCACATTTGTATCAACTTGGTCACTTTAAGGCACAAAAGAATTGACCAAGGCTTAGAACCTGAGCAAATTTTATTCTGCATACTTCAATCTAATTTAAAACCTGATGTAAAAAAGGTCTGTTACTTTAACATACGAAGGACAAAAACCTGAAGTTAATAAGGCCATATGTGCCTTTAAAGGGCAAAAAGTATAAATTAGAAAATATTGAGTACGATGTCTTTCCTTCAGACCGTTACGACATAAGTATTGCATACACAAACGAGAAAATTTATATAAGAAATCTTTATATTTATTCATCTAGATATACAAACTTAAACAGGTGACTGATGTTTCAAAAGGATCTCGAAAATAGAAATAAAAATAGGCTGGTGGTACGATGTCCTTCCTTCAGGCCTTCATTCATTACGAAGCTTACATAAGAGAATAAATGTTCATGAGAAACTTCATATTAAGTTCCCCACATGTTTGCCAGCTCTAAGACAGGCTTCCTATTGTTTATTCTGTTTTGGAAGAAATGTGCTATTATGTTTAATCTTGCTTATTTGAAAAAATTAGCAAAGTACATTACAATATTAATAAACACATCAGGTTAAATTGATTTTATTTTATATTACAATAGAAAAAATAAAAAATAAAAATAAAATTTTAAAAATAGGAAAGTAAGTAGGCATTACCCCGAAACTCTTCCAGCTTTCCGTATGTCCTGTCGTCCAAGTTGGGGGCACGAATTAAATCGGTATAAGATGGCCTCAGCCATTCTTTCTCGATTTCATTGATCGTTCTAGGTTGGGGAAAGATGCTAAGCGATTGTTGTTGAACCTTAGGAATTGAGGTTGAAAAAAGTCATATAGGATTTTCTTTTTTCTTTGAATGAGCTGAATCACATGTGATTCACGGATAAAAACTTCTTGAAGCTTTGGTTGCCGCAACAGTTTAGACATTCACATGGCGCACATCACTGTAAGGTAAAGGTCCCGGGTTCGAATCCAACGGCCCTGCATTCGAACCACCCAACATACAATTTTCAAAAACACCGACCTTTGAATCTTTCAACTTTGTATATGCAGATCCGGATGCCGCTTTAATCCGTACGATTGTAAAGGATCTATAAATAACTATTTACGTCATTGATAATAATTGTTGGATTCGTAGGGAACGGTCAAGAAATGAGGTTTTAAAAAGAACACCTTTTTCATTTTTTTGCCGATGTTTCGACCTTTATTCGAGTCACCTTCAGGGCCTGGGCGAATTACAAAACATACGTTGATTGGAAAAAATACGATACAGAAAAAATTCAAATATAAATTTTGAACCAAATATTTCATATTCACATAAAGTGTGGTGCTATTCTTGTGATGTCATATTGGTTTTGTGTGAAATTATTGTGAAACCTGAATTTGTATTCTGCCGTTTTTGGATGTGTAGATTGTGACAGGGTGGGGAAAGCTGTATATCTGGGAAATTTTCTTTGGTCATAGCCGGTTTTTTACTCAAATTACGTCTAGAATGGGATTTTCTGGAGTGAATTGTGATTCGAGGTTATTCCAATATTAGAAAAGATGTTAATTATTATATACGATAACGAAGAAAATGGAAATATAAAAATACAGTTGAATAGTTTCTTTGCTTTATGATGGCGTAGCTATGGCTGAGTTTGCATGTATCTGTTCTGTAATTAATGCTGTGTGTGTCTCTGTTAATGTAAATCATTTCTAGAAAGTTTCGTTTGTATTTGTTTCTTTTCACTGTTTAGTATTTGTATTATGTCGAAATGAAAGTTGAATTGTTTTTAAAATTGCAATGTTGTGGAAATGGTTTTTTTTTCTTTTCTTACAATCATAGATGTGTTGTTTTTTCCGTTTTTGCAGATATAGCTATGTAATTCCAATGTATGCACCTGGACAGTTCATACAATTAATTTTATAAATTACATCGGATTGGTGTTGTGTTTTTGACTTTGGAAAAAAATGTCTTACCTTTTGTGGTTTTTAAAAGCTATTTTAATGTGCCTGCGGAGAGAAATTTACTTAATTTGTGTGACAATGTGTGGACGAATGTAATGGACATGTATAGTCTGTTTTTGTGTGATTGGGTTGATGATGTGTTGTGCACTGGGGAGGATGTTATTTAGTGTAGTACTAGGTTAGATTCCGTTGATTGTTTTTAGGGTAGTTGTTATTATGTTGTTTGTATATTTGATCGATGTATATTTGATTACCTACGACCAAAGAATGGGATAACAAAAACAAATATAGAATCCTACATCGCAGAATGGATCCGAACAAAACAAAAGGAGACGTGGATAAACCCTAGCGGTGCTAGACATAGGTGTTATGATGAAACAACCCTCACCAAACTGGCAAAAGCATTGCTGCAATTGGAGAGGGCCAAACTCAGAGGAGTGGTAGGACGACTAACCGGTCACTGGCATCTGAGAAAACATCTACACAACATGGGTATATACAACGATGATCCCATTTGCAGATAATGTAATGAGGAGGAGGAAACAGCCGCCCATATCATCTTCAATGTGAAGCAAAAGCTCAATGGAGATTTAACATAACGTACGTTAAAAACTTAGGGAATGAAATTGTAGCAGCGACAGTCAATGACCTGATACTTCTAAGAAGAAGGATAAGCCAGAAGACTGCAGATCCTGGGGAGCTCAACCCCGCTTCCTAGTATCCTCATTACCATTATCAAAGAAAATTTACCACATTTACCGCATCACCCAACCTGTCACAGCAGAATACAAATTGAAGTTTCACAAGAATTTCACACAAAACCAATATGACACAAGAGAAGCACCACACTTTATCCGAGCATGAAACACTTGGTTCAAATTTTATATTTACACCAGTATTGCATTTTTTCCAATCTAATGTTTTCTAATACACTGAAGATGACGCGAATAAAGGTCGAAACATCGGAAAAAAATTAAAAAGGTGTTTTTTCTAAACTATCTCACTCTTGACCTCTCCTCACAAATCCAACAAATTGTTAAACAACCGGTCACTAAAAAAACACAAATTGTTATTTTATTTGTTTATTTATTTTTTGAATCGGCCTGCGATTGATCTTATTGTTAAATCGAATTATTGAAATGATCAATCGTACTGTTATATGTTATATCTGCAGGGTATAACCTCCTTGGCTGTTATATTTTCTAAAAATAGGACAATAATATTGTGTCCCATTAGTTAGTTTTTTCTTTTACCATTTTAATTTCAAAAATATGCGAATAAAAAAGCCTAGGGGCTTAACCACGTTCCAGATCTCGTTGGTGACATTCTTAGGAATCTGCTCGGGATTTTACATCTGGAAGCCGTACTTGAGCTCTCTGAAAAGTATTTTTTCCATACTTTTCAAAAAATCTAACTTCTACATTTACAGTTGTATTTTTTCTCTGTTGACAGATGAAAAAGACGTCAAGGAAGAAACTTGAATGAACTCCAGTCATAACTTGTTTAGCATTTGTGTTTTGTAATATCGATAAAAATAAATAGTACTGGCAACTGTTTTCGACAGAAATCTTACAGACTCTATATAATAAAGTGTTGTATCTACACTGATGGACAAATTAATGTACCACTAAATTTATTTAGTTAAAAACTAAATCCATTTCAATTAACACGGTTAAGTATGACATACATTAGATTATTAGATACAGATAATTAGGTAGTCAAAATAAACAGTAAGTAATGCTTTGTTTACTTTTGTACTGATTAATCCCATTTGGATAAAAAGTAGCAATATGCTTTTACATTCTGCTACGCCTAAAGATCGCTTTCAATTAATATTTTTCCTTTGTTGATTTAATTTGATATTACCATTATTTTTAAATCGTACTCAATGGCTCCAGTTAGGCATTTGAGTGAGTGTGAGTATCAGTTTCATAACATTATTAGAGGAAGGAGACAGCCAGCGTGAAGTCATTAGGAGACGGAGTGTAAACAACTCTACTGTAGGAAGGGTTTTTCATAGCTTCAGAGAAATAGGGCTTCACACTAGAAAGTCAGGACAGGATCAACCTAGGTTATCATGTATTCATCAGGCTCTACGAAACCTCAGTATTAGGAGAAATGAGATAAGAAATCTGATTCAGACAATTCTGAAATGTTTCGATTTCCTCCAGGACTGTAAGAAGAAGGCTCAATGAAAATAACCTAAGGGCCCGGCACATGGCTTATGCTAGCACATCTCAGAAAATGGCCATGCTTCAATTCGTGCAGGGAACATGTGGATTGGACAATCGAAGATTGGAGACAAGTTCTGTTTACAGGCTAGGTGAAAGTTGGCCTTAAGTCTTCAGATTGGTGTAATTTCATACAGAGACACTCAGGAGAAAGGTACAAAGAAGATAGGTAATCTGTATGGTTTCTCAGGTGGCATTCCATGGTGGGTTATTGGTTCTGGGGTGGCATTTCATTGGACACCCGCACCGAATTGATTGTTATGTGATCTTTAACTTCAGAGGTACAAGACATTTAGTCCACTACATTATTGAGAGATTCTTGCTAATGCAGGATGATGGCTGGCCCCATAGATCGTGTATTGTGATGTCTACCTGAATAAGGTTGGAATTGAGTGCTTGGTGTAGCCTGCTCAAAGTTCAAATTTGAACAATCGAACACATTTGGGACCAACTTAAGCAACAAGTACAGCGGCGAAACCCAGATCCTAACACGCTAGAAAGGTTGGAAAGGCTTTTTTTGTTGGTTGGGAAAGAATTCCTCAGGATTTTATCAGAAATCTTTTCCAATGAATGCGAAGGCATTTAACGGATGAGATTTATACCATAGGTGGAAATACTCTGCAATAAAGGGGACAATTTTTTTTACATTTTTATTTGTTGTTGAATTTTTTCTTTACTCAATAATTGTTTTTTAGAATGAGGAAATAAACTTGTTCTTTTTAAATGTATTATTTTTACAACCAAACCTAATCATGGTATGACAAATTTGAATAAACCTAAATACAAGGGGGGGTGTTAAGGGTGGTGTGTTTATTTTGTTCGTCAGTGTATATCCTCATAATACAGTGTACTATATACAGTTAAATCAATGTCCCTGAACAACTGTGCTGGGATACTGATGAATAATTATCAATTAACGGTCACTAATCACCACACAGTCCTCATAAATGTTCTTGTAATAGTATACAGAGAGTCAGACCAACTCAGAGGACACCATTACAATCTAGGTTAAATTCCCTACAGATTTCAGCCTTTATCAGACCTACATACATTTTTCATGTGACTTCACAGTCATAGTCACTTGAAATATTAAAAAAACAATAACAATGTTAATAATTTTTTGAATTTAAATATTCAAGTTTTTTAAAAAGCCATTTATGAGCCAAAGAAACAGCTTTTTCTAAAGAGAGAGTGAGAGAAATCTCTTGGCTTGTCTCATACCTGGTGCTTTTGTCCAGTGCTCAAATTTTTCTTTCTCAACCCATTTTTCCAGTTCCAACTTAAGCACACATTCCAGTGCACCTAGTAGTGGTTCTGTGCTGGTCACATTTTTGGTGAGTTGGTCAGCTTGTTTATTTCCTTCTAGACCTTCATGTCCCAGAACCCACTTTAAGGTAATCTTGTTAGCCATTAGGCAATTTAGTGGCACTCCACACTAGTTTGGAATTAAAACTTTATGGATTTAGTGCCTTTATAGCAGTCTGAAAATTTGTAAATCTGTGCACTTTCATATTTTTCTTTTCTCCTGGATACAGATTGTATTACATGGACCTCAGCTTGGAAAATTGTTTGGATTTGTCCAATAGGCTTTGCTAGGGTAATTTTCAGCCCTTTTACCCCTACACTTACTCCCTGTTCCATCTTCGATCTATCTATGTACCATATTAGGACCCATTCCTGAAACTTTGAGCTACCTTTCTTCCAAAGGTTCTCTGCTATCTGTGACCACTTCGAAGGGTATGTCAGAGTTGAATTTTTCATTCACTTTGTCAGGGACCCTTATAGCCATCTCATTTATTTTATTTCATTCAGAATTTTGTGGTGGCTCTTCATTAGATGTAAATTTATTTCCTTATATCTCAGAAGCTTGGCATTCTCAAAACCCACCTGTTGTACAGAAATAAGTAAGGGTGGGAGGTCGACTGCAGTTTCCATTGCTTCATTGCTGTATTAAGACACGCTAGTCTTTGGAGATATTGTAGCTTGTTCTGTGTCTCCTTGTTTCTGGCCACCAACCTAGAGATCCATATCTGACCAGCGGTCTGACCGTTGTGGTGTATAGTGTACCATCTTGGTGTGTATCCTCCAGTTTTTACTTCATAATCTCTTAAGCTTGATAGAGCCTTGGCTGTATGCAGAATGTGACCTATGAGTTTTCTCCATTTGAGCCTTCGGTGAAGGGTTATATCTAATTACTTTGTTTCTTTGGAGAATGTTAAGGCTTCGTCTTTTATATTGAGTGCTTCCTTCTTCTTGTAAAAGGTATGAAATATGTTTTCTTAAGGTTAATATTTAAACCAATTTTCTCACACAAACTTCTTACTAAATTTATGGCGTTTTGTAACTGATTTATCAGAGTACCATCGAATGTCATTTATGATTGTTACCAGGTCATCTCCATAACCTATGATATGGTATCTTGTACTAATTATTTGTTCTTGTATTGTAATTCTATTTGTTATTTCTTTAATTATCTATTTCTGTTTTATAATGAATCTATATTTTCTTTCCTAAGTAACTATGTATATTTTTAATAGGCTTTGCCTACATAATAAATAAATACTTATTGGTGGTAACACAATATTGAAGTTAATAAACCTGAAACTGCAAAATAAAAACTCAAATTACTATTTATATGTTTAATTGGTAATTTTTGTTCTGAATGGTTGTTCAGAAGCATACAGATCTTTTTTATGAGGGTATTTCAACTGCGAGGTTGAGAATAGGTTCAGGACCTATATATGGTCTTGCAGATCCTTTGCAGATAATTGTTTCTTTATGGGGAGGTGTTGGCAAAAAGGTGGGTACTGGAATATATTTTCCCTTTATCAAGAAGAAAGTGCTTGAAAAGGAAATTACATGTAACTTTACTACTACTATGTACCTTTGGAACAAAATAACTTAAAAATCAATAATAAAAACAGCAGTAAAAATTAATTATAAAAATCTTCAACAAACCAGGTATGTTTATGAAGCCATTTCAACTAGACTTACCTACCTTTTCATCATCATGATGCTTTCAATTTGTAGGATAACAGTTTTACTATTCCTGTATTCTTTATTTTTGTTAAAATCTGGAAAAAATGTGTTATTGTCTTTGATGATGAATGGGGACTGTAAAGTGGGGGGATTTATTCCCCAAGCACTGCAGCATTCTGGCTTATTGTTCTTTCCTAGTTATTTAGTTCAGTCAATTGGCTCGATCCCTCTTACAAGAGGTCATTGACTGTCGCAGCTACAATTCCTTTCCCTGTTTTCTTTGATCTCAGGTTATATCTCCATTGAGTGATCACTTCAGTTTCAAAGATATGGGTGGTTGTTTCTTCCTACTCATTGCATAACCTACAAATGGTGCCCATGTTGTGCAGATGTTTTCTCCAGTGACTAAGAAATAGTCCCAACACTCCCCTGAGTTTAGCCCTATCTTTAGCAATGAGTTTTCCACACTTGGTGAGGGTTGTTTTAGCATAAGCTTTGGTGTCTAGCACCCCTAGAGTTTAAACAGATTTCCTTTGGCCTTTTTTATATCCATTATGTGATGTAGGAATCTGTTTGTTTTTGTTATCCCAAGAATAAGTTCAGAGCCTACATATGGTCCTGCAGATCCTTTTCTGGCCAATATATCCGCATTTTCGTTACCCAAATTCCCCTGTGTCTTGGTATCCAAGATGTCAGATTGTTTCCTCAAGGTTTGCACATTTTGGATGCATTCATTGACTAGTTTTGATGTGATTTTTAACATTCTAATGCTTTAATAGCTGCTTGACTATTTATTTATTTACGGATCAATATCCACTATAAAAAAAGACATTTTACAATAACAAAAAATACAAATAATATATGTAAAAATACAAATAATATATATAAAAAGAAGAAGGACATATATAAATGGTAAATATAAATGATAAATATAAAAATACAATTAAAGAGTAAAAACTGAACAACAAAAATGAAAGACATAATTACTAACCAAATAAGGCAGAGGAAACAAAATAAAGCTGAAAGACAATTGGAACTACAATAATTAGGTACATATTTAATTAAAATAATGCTCTTTGTAAATATATAATAAGACTAGAGTGCGAGAATTAGTTGAACACTAAATGAAATAAATTGTAATAATTTTGTACAGTATTATATATAAAAGCATTCAACTAAGGTTGTAGGATATGGTTTTTCACAGATTGCACGGAACTGTTGAAGAAGTCAATGCTATTGCAGATGTTGTTACTCTTGATCATCATTCTGTGTAGAGGAGAAGAGAGCATGTAGTTAGAGCTTTGGAATTCAATATAAAATAGTTTATAGGTTTTAAGAGAGTGCGAAGGGACATGTAGCTGTAGTTGAGAGAGGAGGGAAGGACTATCAATGAGATTGTTTATAATTTAAATACAAAAATAATATCAAAGTCCCTTCTTAGTGCCAGTTCGAAAAGTTTAAATTCAGAGCGGATTCCAGGGTAGGCAGAATTCGGAGGAAGATTGAGTTTGTAGGAAAGTTTTTTTAAAAATTTGTTTTGTACAGATTGAAGAATTTTTTGATAATTTAGATAGAATGGGTTCCAAACAGGTGTAACATATTCTAGTATGGGTTGTACAAAAGCTTTATAAAGATGGACAAAACATAGAGGATTTTTAAATTCATAGGTGTTCCGGATGATGAAACCTAGCATCTTCATAGATCTATTTTTTACTGAAGAAATATGTTCTTTAAACTTGAGCTTTTGATCAAAAAGGTACAAGATCCTTTACGACCTCAACTCACGTTAAAAGAGCATCATGGAGAGTATATTGATAAATAAAAGGTTGTTTCTTATGAAACAAATGTTTCTTCTCTTATGAGAAAATGTAATTGTAATTTGGAAACATTAAGAGCAAGTTTGTTATTAGAGCACCAGGTTAGCACATTATTGATAGAATTTTGTAATTGTAAGCAATCAGAAGGAGAAGTGATTATGGAATAGATTTTCAGATCATCAGCAAATAATAAAAATTGAGCAGAAGGGAGAGCAAGATGGATATCATTAATAAATAAGAGAAATAAAACTGATCCAAGATGAGACCCTTGCGGGACTCCCAAGGGACATGATTTAAATGATTTTATTTTGAATATTTGTTTTCTGTCGGAGAGAAAGCTGGATAATCAATTCAAGATAGTTCCGGTGAAACCATAATCCACTATCCGAACTTATGAGGATTTTTTGCCAGTGTAACTTCTTAAGGTATTTTAGGGCTATTTTCTTTAACGCACTGGCAACAGGAGAGGTCATAACCCTCGGGATGCCGATGTGTCATTTGGAAGTATGTACATCGGGTTGGAACGCAGGGCCATTGGATTCGAACCCGGGACCTTTATCTTTCAGAGATGAGCACCGTGTCAGTGCCTAAACCATTGCGGCCACCGACGCCCTTTTTGTTTTGCTTTGCTAACTTTCAATAATGAAAATATAAATGAAATTCAAGGGGGAAAAAAAAGGGAAAATTTTGGGCTCTTTGTCTGGCAAAAAGGGGTTTTCGACCGTGTAGATTGTCGAACTCGGCTCAACTCGGCTACTGTGCAGACTGCCGAACGCACCGCCCGACATCTGTAATTTGGTCGATTTCTCGTCCAGGTAGCAGGTACCGCATACTGAGTCGGTCGGTGAATTTTAGTTTTTCTTTACACGTATTTTTATTTTAATCGGCCAAATACGTGGAAAAGTTCAATTTGTATTATTAATTTTTAAAATATAAACTGAGAAAGCTCTCGGCGCCGAAGCAGCAAAGCTCAGACGGGTGATCTGCATGTAGAAACGTGGTCAGTTTATCCATTCCTGGTCGGTCGTTGGACCATTTATTAAATTACTTAGTAATTAATTAACATTAAAAAAGTGGTTGCTACTGTAAAATAAGAATTTTTTTACAAATAAATCGATTACTTCAAGTTCCAACTGAAGAGGCTTAAGTTTATCGCAAACTACAGTTTTAACAGTGACTCAGGTATGGTTCGTAAGTACTTAAGTGGTAAGCTAAGTACTATAAATATAATTCAATCATTTTTAATGTATATTATTCAATATGAAGTTTTATTATCATAAAAAAGCCACTTAAGCTCAAGAAACTGTTCTAATTGTTCAGTTCTAGTCTTTATTAAACAAAATATTACTTTTAGATGTCGGCAATTATGGAAGTGGAAGAAGATGGTTCAGTAGGTAATGAAGTCACGGATGATCAGGTTGGAGGCGAGGACGGTAATGTTAATTGTGACGTTGAAGAGGAGGATGCGACCAGTATGCCTGATCAGCAAAACTTGCAAGAGGACGACCTGAGAGTGTTTCATGTCTTGGACGAATATGTATATTCTGATGTTGAAAAGTGCGATACTGCGAACAGCTCCGACAGTGACATCAGCGACAATGAGATTGAAGCAATGCTCGAAGAAGGTCTCGAGAAGGATGCGACGAAAACGGTCGAGACGAAACTCAACGGTGATGGGGCCAAGCCAGTCCAATACAAGGAGCACAAAGTGGTCACGTTGGAAGAGCTCGGATACAACCATTTTGACCTCCTGCCAGAAAGCTGGGTACAGATCACACACAAGTCTGGCATGCCGCTTTATCTTCACAAGCCTACGAGAGTCTGTACGTTCAGCAGGCCATATTATCTTGGCCAAGCGCGGGCCAGAAAACATGCTGTGCCGTTGAGCGCCATACCTTGTTTGCAGTATAGAAAAGCCCTCGAAGAAGAGAAAGCTTCAATGCAAGAAAATGCTAAAGAGACTGATCTGAATGGGCTTAGAACAGCAAAAATAGAAACTGCTGAAGAGAATAAAGCCTCACAATCCCTTGGGCCTTTTGCTATCCAGCAATATTGTAAAAGCCTCTTCCGCTTTAAGACGAGTTCCAGATTGAGATTTGTTTCTTGGTCTGACCGTAGACGGTTTGTCAAAGCTAAAAGAATAGAAAAACAACAAAGGCCGACATTCCCAGATGATACCAAATTGATCAAATTCCCAATTCAGAACCCAGAGGATGGACCAGATGCAAAACCAAGAGGGGAGTGGATTATGAATCCCAATGGGAAAAGCTACATATGCATTCTGCATGAATATGTTCAACACGCTTTGAAAAAACAACCTACATATGAATTTAAAGCACTGGAAAATCCAGCAACTCCGTATTCTGCTACAGTAATAATAAATGGCATGCGTTACGGCTACGGAACAGGGACTAGTAAAAAGCAAGCAAAGTTGGCTGCAGCGAGGGCCTCTCTTGAAATCCTTATTCCAGAAATGAGGGAGAAGATAAGAAATGATAAAAAACAAGGGACCAAGACAAGTGGATATTCAGAGGAGGACGAAGCGAGCCTGTCGATCTTTGACGAGATCAAAATACAAGATCCACGAGTGGCTGAGTTCTGTGCCAAGACGACTGAGCCTTCACCATATTCCATTCTCCTCACCTGTCTCCAGAGGAATTTTGATACAAAAGAAATGCCCATCGATTACAAAATGAATGCCCTTCACCGTCAGACTAATGAGTTCATAATGACAGTCGGTTCTCACGTAGCAAGGGTTGTTTGCAAGAACAAAAAAGAAGGGAAGCAGAGGGCTTCACAGGCGATTCTACAAGTGCTGCATCCTCATATCACATCTTGGGGTTCACTGTTGCGGCTCTATGGCAACCGTTCAACACGCAATGTCAAGGAGAAGAAGCAAGAGGAACAGGAGATCACCATGCTCCAGAGCAAGGCATCCCTCAATTCCCCCAACTATGCCATACTCGACAAGCTCAAAACAGAAATGATGAAACTCCACAAGGAGAAGACGGAAAAGAAGCCAATCGGTATTTTCATCCCCCCAGAGGATGTTTCCCTCCCGACGTCTGGGACACAGCTCAATAAGATCGAACTGTAAAAAGTTGTCGATTACGGTCGGCCAGGGTAGTCGGCGAAATCAAAACAATGTTTGTCGAATACTTTGACCCACTGTATATCTTCAATGATTTATGACTCTTTAACAACACCGTAAGTCTACACAAAGGTACGTAAATCAATTCCTTTGTAGGTCCTAGTTGCTGACTAGATTTTTTTTAACAATTCCAGAATATTAATTATAATTTTACAAATTATAGATAATAACTGACTGTTTTAAGTAAATATATTAAAGGGAAAACTTAAAATATGGCAATAATACAACTGATAAATTGTCTCAAAATTTGAAATTTTGATGGAGAAAAAAAAGCATCTGTGATTCAATTGTTAACAAATTTATGAAAGGATGTTAATTTTTATTTAAATCTTGTACTGTTGAGGTACCTAGTCTATTTTTATAATGAAATATCTTGTCATAAATATTTAAATTTAAATTGATTAGGCCATAATGCTATGCCATTTGTTATTAAGCACCTATGAAACTTTTCAAAATTAATCTTATCGCTTAACGTAGTTGAGATGTTCAATATGAGTGTATATAATACATATATGTCAACAATTAAATGGTCTCTTTAGCTGTAATTTATTATTTTCCATCAATCATACCATCCTTTTCTAAATCTGCATTTAAAAAATAAGAACACTTACCGATTATTAATTAATTAATAGGTGAAACATTGAAGGTATTGAAGCAGTAGACCAGCCATCCCGATCTTTTTTACTGGCTTCAAATTGATTAATTGATTAAGTAAAACTTTGAGTCCTAATTATATTAATTAAGGATTAATTATGGTTTATCATGCAGTAATATTCAACTTTTAACACATTGTCTGCATCCTATGCTTGGACCATTTTCGTTGCATACGGTGGAACCCAATTTATCACTTATAGTCTCTGGTACTTTAAAGTAGTAAATGATTTTTTTAATGTTCACGAAGCATTAAAAATTATAAGACACAAGGGTTTGTCCACCACAAAGCTAGGTGAATGAAGTAGAAAACTCTGTTCAATTTAGGTGTGCAGTTTAATAAAATAATTCTACAACAATTTTTCTTTTATTTTACATTTCTTTAAATTTAACCTTTAAATTAAAAAAAAAAAAAAAAAAAAAACAGTCGTAAAAATTGGACTCTGAACACATTTTTATACTTTATGATGCGGCCCTAGAAATTTCGAACTGAATTTTGATGAGTGGTGGGAGAGTTGAAAAAGTACAGTCGAGAGGACACAGACTGCATGCACAGCACCCAGAAAGACAGTTGGCATGACGCACTGTTGTGTTAATAAGTATAATAAGTTAATCTTAAGTAATCTTGAAAAAACACATCGAATGCTGAAATTAAAAAAAAAAAAAAATCACATTTATTTTTTAATGTACAATATTGAACAAAGGCGTATTTATAATTTGGTTGTTACAATCATTTTGGCCTATCTTTCCTTGCTCTTTGTCTGACAGACATAAAAGTAAGATGTAATACACTGAGAGACAAAAAAATTAGCAATAGTTTTTTTTTAAATAAATACAATATAAATTTTATTTTTTGTCGTTTACTGGATATTTTTAAAGATAAATATAAGCTAGCTAAATAAAAAATTAAACATTAAAAAAACAAAACATTTATTTTGCTACGGAAAGAAAAGTAGAAAATATTCAATTAACTTTTGAGTATTTCTTCCTCTTGCATTGATTAAAGTTGCGTTCGATATGGCATCAAATTTATGAGGTTTTCCATGTAGTGGTACAACTCAAAAAAGTCAAACCACCAGAACGTTAGAAAGCAGCTCAGAAAAACCAACAAAGTGGTACTTACTGGGGTAAGTCCTATAAATATGTTTGAAATGCTATGGCCGCCAGAATTAGAGCCCAGAACTGCTACTGGCAAATAGGAGTCGGAAGCCCTAATTACTCAGTCACCCAATATTAACGTGTATATTTTACAATTTAAGTACGGTTGAAAACCACCTCTGAAGATGAGAAGCCAAAATGATGCTAGGCAAAACAAATTCTACAGAAAGGACCAAACCACACAGTCTTCACAATTTTCGGATGAACATGCAGCAAAAAATCAATGGCAGTTTGGAGCAGGCAAAGCCACATCAACTAACCATTGGTACTATTTAAATTTTAATGGTATATACAAAAAAAATCATTTATTTTCTATTATTTTAAACTAAACATTTCCCACTTGTGACCAAAACGTATTTGGTTAATGAGTCTAGACTCCACTATACTTCCTACATAATAATTTTAATTTAAGAAGTTTATGGGCAGTGCTGGTTTTCAAACCCAAAACTGCTAGCATGGCAAATACGAGTCAGAAGCCCTAACCACTTGGTCATCGCATTCTGTTTATTTATTTTAGGTGAAACTGTTGAGAAAAAATATTGCAATGTGATCAAAAGTATGGTCTACATGAAGATCCAAATTATATTTATATTATTTATAGCATATTTATTTACTGGTAGATAAATAATTACTGGAATAAAAGTATATCACAAAGTGAGTATTTGGTTAATTTTGAATGTTTTTCGCTTTTGAACAATTTCAGAGTGAAAAATATTTAAGGACTTGGAGGTTTTAGAGCGCTGGATGGTCAAATGCCATAGGAAACGAGCCAGTTTAGAAATGAAGAAAGCCTACTTTAATCAAAAGTACACATGATGCAGAATTTACATAACTGAAAAATATCGAGATGATCGTGGTGACTAAAATTGTGGCAATGTAAAATATACACCTACCTTTTTTTAAAACCTGACAGGCTTGATTTTCTCTGCCCATCATGACCTGTTTGTTCACAACATGCTGCGAATTAATTAAAAACTTCTGAAGAAGGCAAAATGACAGACCAGGCTGATCAAAGAAATGCCGTATTTTTGATAAACTGCTAAAACAATCAATCTATAGGAAGAATGAAGGTTTTTCCAAAAGAAAAAAACAAAAACACATCTTATAAAGATAGATTTACATATATTTTGAATATATATACCTTCATTTATAATTATTGCTTTGTCTCATTTGTTTTAATTTATATTGTTACATATATTATACATATATCACTTCTAAAACTTGCTAGTTAATCATTTATAAACCTGGATAACTATGTCATCCGTAACTATGGGTACCCAGCTTCCCATGATTTGCTAGGCTGGGATTAAAAACAAGAACTGGGACAATCAGTACGATTTTTCAATGACAGAAAAAATAATCTCTGTAAAAAAAAATCAAGACATTCTCACTTTTGTTATTTACCATTTTCTCCTAGAAAATGTTTGAAAAAAATTTTCATTATATTTTTGTATTGATAAAAATAAAGCAATGACACAATTGGTGCAAAGCCCCTATTGGGTTTTTGTTTATTCTTATTTTTTAAATGATGAATTCTCTTTAATTTTAAATGTTATTAATTATCTAGGGTTTGGCGAATTAAGAGGACAAATCCGCCAAACTGGAAAAAAATCTACAAGATTTTTTACACACATTGGAAGACGTTTTTTTATTCATCTCAGGCAATCTTAACTATTTAGAAAACAAAATCTGCTAGTTTGAACAAAATTAGGCTGTTTCTGAGGGAAAATTGTAAATTTATTGTGGATAGAGAGAATTTTAGGCCCTCTAGGTTTAAGCGTAAATTTTTTTTTTAATGTATAATTTTCAATTTCAAGTAACACAATTTTGAACATTTTAAGAATTATTAATAACTATTAATAAACATCTGCCTCAAGTCAATGACAAACAATATAAATACACTTTTTTTTTGTACCCTCAAGCTTATTTTTAAGGAGCAAAAACTATAATAAATATTAATTTTTGATTTGGCAACCGAGAAGGGAAGACTTTTAAACATTAAAATTATCGCCTTACATACAAAGTTTACATTTTGAAAATAAAATATGCGGAAAAAACGACAGGTCAGCCTTGCCCAAAAGTGAATACTAAGCGCTAAGAAGTTTGCATCATATTGCTCAGGAAAATATAATCTATTTTAATTACTTTTCAACTTTATCGACTACAAATTTCTTTTCTTCTTGTACATAGTTTATATGTATACAATGCACTTACACGAGTGCCTAAGATAAAAGACAAGGCGTGCTATTTAGGCTTAATTTACATACAAAAATTGTGTTTTGTACGTTTAAATCTGATTGAATAGTTTTATTTATATACAAGCTTTAAACAGTAATCGTTTAAAAGGTTTATGTATGTTCTGTCAGTCAATTCTAAAAATTAAGAGCTACGCGGCGTTACTTTTATCATAAAGTCTGTTAAATTACATTTTATGACGTTTGTAAGTACCATGAATGGCTTATATATGTATATATATATATATATATTTTTTTGCATTGAACAATAATCACTGTCAGTGTTCTTCATTCCCAATCCAAAACAACTTGCTAATTAAAATTCACAAGAGAAGTAATTCCCACCTCCTTAATTGTTGAAAAATACCATATCCTTCTGAAATTTTTTGCTTATAAATATAATTAAATTTCGATAACCCTTCGAGGTCTTTAAAATTTCTAAATCGAGCCGATATCCCATGATTAAGCGATATCAAAATAACAACAATTCAATCACTATATGAGATTAACAAGCTTTTTTTCTTTAAATATTACAAGAACGATTACTATTGTCGGGTTATTCAATCCTACATCGAGGTTCCTTATAAGAATTAGTCGATGTGAGTTTATATTTTTACATTATTTTAAAACAAATTCAATTTAGGTTAAATAAATTTTCTATAATTATGCAACTATCGAATTGAATCAACTTTTTTTAGTAATAGACAATTCATTCTTTAAATTTTTGGTCTAAACCTCAATTAAACATAATAACAAATCCCATTTTTGTTTCTTTTCTGATTTTCTTTCTCGGCACCCACTGAAAAAAATTGATACAACTCGATTTGGTCAATTTTTGTAAGTCTATTATGTTGTTTTTGGTGTTCAGCAGAATGCACGGTTCCTCAAGGAACGCCGCAGAGCCCGAAGTACTAAACACATCAAATTCTACAAGAATAATTTTCATATTGTTTTAACCTATGTAACATTTTTTTAATTTTTTTTTGTCCGATAACTAATTTTCAAAGATATACTATCTCTTCGATTAAAATCCCTTGTCATCGTTTCATTTGACACTTCACAATAATAGACAAAACATAAAACAAAAACACTTTTCATTTTTATTTTTAGTACAAATTCAACAGAAAAACACAGAATGATTGCATCAAAGTTTTAACATTGATATCACATTTCTTCAAGACTTTTTCTGTTAATATTTTTTTTAAAAAGATATATAATATTTGTTTTCCCGTGTTTAGACTTTCAGTTCTTATGAAAATAATCTTCGAGTCGAAAAATAAAAATAAAACTAAAAAGAAAAGAAGAAAATTTCAAAAAATTCTGGTATCCCTTTTTTTCTTCCTTTCTCAAAACAAAACAAAAAATAAAATTGACTTAGAAGACCCCGATACTTTCTCCTGTATGTGTAAAGTAACAAAAAAAACGTTATTACTAAATTTTGTTTTTTTCTTATTACATTTCACAAAAAATCAACAAGTTTAACATTTTAAAATCATCTTTCGAAGAAACAAAATGAAAAAATAAAAGAAAAAGAAAAAATACTGAACAAACTCAACAAATTCAACAGCCTAATTAATAATAATATTTCTCTTTTCTATTTACATTTGTAATAATACATAATAAATTTTTTAAATATATTGTAAATGTTTTATATATATTCTTAATATTCATAGAGTTAACTCTTGACTCTAAATATCGTTTAACAATTTATTTTTGGCTACACTATCAATCACTAGTGTTACTCTGTTTTTATTGATTTCCTCTCATTTGCTCACATAAAAGCTAGAATAAATGTCACAGCCGCTGAAAAAGCACAAAAATCGTCCTGTACAAACATCGAATCTGCAATGACTGTCAAAATAATGATTATTTTCGTTTAAATATTTAAGATTTGTCTTAATGAATCTATAAACATGAACAGTGATTCAGACGTTAATGTTTGTGATTTTCCAGCTTTGCAAGGGTTCAATGAATTGAATTAAAAACATGTAAGTTTTGAATTCTTTCCCCTGATATAAAATAAACAGCCTAAAACAAGGAAAGGATATCAAAAAAACAGAGTAAAAATTGGTTATGTTTCTAAATTTTTTTTTAGAAAACCGAGTTTTTCCTCTTTTTAAATAATATAACTGCTACGAAATGAAAAATAAAAAATGACCTATCATTTAAAAACAAATCTTTCTCTTTACAACTACAAATTTATAAAAAGAAAGACTTATTTTATAATTTATATAATGTACAATGTATATGTATATATATAATATATATTATATGGATCTGTATTATATATACATACTCACAAAAAAACAAAACAGAACAAAAAATAATATTCAAATAAAATTAATATAGTTAAAATAATTTTTATAGTTCATTGGGCTAAACTAGACTAAAGCTTTTTAAAGTTTTGTAGCTCTCATGGGGCTCCTTTTGACCCCTACCTCTTTGCCTTCATACGCTGTGGGCAGACGGGTTTTCTACGCAGTTTCGCTGGGATGCTAGTGTTGTTGTTGTGGCTGAGAGGCGTCATGGGTTGAGCGGGCGAGAGGGTGCGTATGCGCTTCGCCGGTGGGAGTACAGTCACCGCTGTCTTGATACCAGCTAGGTTGAGAAGCGCATCGGCCCCCTCTGCTGTCTTGCGCCTTTCTTCCAAGTCTGCATCTTCATAAATTCGCAGCGATCCACTGAAAAAAGAAATTACTCAATAAGTTTTCTATATAGTGGGAAAAACCTTAATATTCGGTTGATTATTATTTCTTTTATGCTCCTGTAAAGTTGTATTTTAACATAGTAAAAAAAATTCCTTGGTTATCTTTTCAGGAACTTTATTAGTGAAGTTTAATTTCAATAGGAAAATAAAGCAGTAAGAAAAATAGTGTTTGTCTGTATGAATAAGTTCTTTAATTAGTAAAATTAATCATCAGAGAATTTTCTATTAAAATAACTTTATAGTCTTTGCTTACTTCAATCATCACTGAACAAACTTCCAGCTTTTCAAGTTCTTATAGAGAATTAGAAGTATGCATTACTATGTATAGTTTCATATACAAAATAATTAAATGGAATTTTCTATTCTGCAATTTGATTGTGTCTGTTCATCCTGGCCTGTTTTTGCTGGCTTAGTATGTCAGATGCATTTCAGCATTTTGCCAACCATTAGGAACCACAGGAGAACCACTGGAAAATGGCAAATTGTCTTACAAACAACGCCAACGATATAAGGCCGTTCATTTATGATCTGAGATGATCAAAGATTCATCAGTTTACAGAAAATAAAACAGTGTTTTTTGCTGGTCAGTCTAAGTTTAATTAAAATGTCACTGTTTTATTATTAGGGTTCACTCGTCATAAATAAAATTACAGAGCTAAGGCTGCTATCGCTATTTTATTGTTCATGCTTCAACCTTGAATTTGAATCAGAACCATCAGCAAACGCCTCATCCGCTGAATTCTGCTCTGTGCCTCCTTCAAGTGTGCTGTAGTTGTGATCTTCTATTGGACGGGCCTGCACGCATTCATCCTCCTTAAAAAGTCACAAATTTAAAAAAAATCAAAATAACCGCTAGTGTTTTCAAGTCATACCCGAGGCCACTTTCCGTTTGTCAGTCCTTGCTGGAGCGCCATTCTATGCTTTTTATGGTATTCTTCTAAAATGAGAAAATACAATAGATACTCAGGGAGGAAAATAGCTAAAATAAATTATTCGGCGAATTGTTTTACCTCTTGAATGGGATATGTGGAGACGCGCATGTGGACCGTGCTTCAGTACAAGCATAGCTGCCGCTGCATCAACATCGTCCAGCTCGTCTAGACTCCCTGTATCTGCACACTCTGGGCTCGGACTCCTAAAACAATAATATAATTATTATAAACTGCGTTTAAACCTGGAATTTAAAATTACCTTTTCCGCAGGTGTGGAGCTGAGTTTGATTTGTCTAAGTTTGTATAAGGATGATAAGGAGCTTTCATCAAAGCTTCAACTAATTTTGGCCTAGATACTGGATCTACCATCCACAATGAGCCTTTTCCTAAATTCTTCATAGAAAAAAAAACCTATATTGAATATTATTGCAAAACGGATTTTTAAATTATATTAGAATGCAGTGCCTTTGTATGACAAAGTTGGTCATTACCGATCATCTTGGTCTACTTATCCTCACTGCATTGGTCTGTCAGTCATTTGGCCATACCATCTTCAACATACTGACAAATACACAGTAGAGATAGGCAGACCAAAATGATCGGTAACGACCCAATTTTAGGTTTATCATCCAGCTGACAACACAGAGTAATCTCACATTAAATTGAACTTTTAAACAGTATAAAACAGTAAAGCATAATTTTTGAACTCTACCTTTTGCTTTGTTTATGAATAAATAGTTGTTTAATTAGATTATTTTGTATGTATTGTATATGTTAGTGTATTTCTATCATGATTCTTATTTGTTTCTGGATTTCCCCTTCATAAGACAATATGAAGACAGTACAAATAACTTTTAAAGACTGTTTTATAAATATTTCATAAATAAAATTAGAAATTATGTCTTTAGACTGATAAACAGTTTGTGACTATAATAAGCACCGGTAGTGGTCATGGGTCATATTCTGATTCTTCGTTATCATGAGTGTTGCTTTCATTTGCATAGAATGACATAACAAGTTTGTTCAAGGCCTTTGGATCATTTTCTGACAATGTAGAAATTTTTACAAAACTATTCTTGCCCACAGAGAGTTGAAACATGCTAACCATAATTATTTTATCTTAGATTTTTTTTTTGAAAGATAGTTTATTTGATCATCGGCATGATGATTTATTTATTCCTTGGGAGACATTACTTTTTCATCACACTCTCAACTGGGCTCATGAGTTAGATTTATTGGTAAATTATTAATTTTTAAATTAAAATATACTGACCAATTAGAGCGGTCTGTTAATTTAATAAAAAGTAATAATAAAATTAGATATCTCCTTTTAAGCTGGTTGTTAATTTAGCATCTTCACATGGTTTATTAAACTGGAACTGGGTCATGTTCAAGGGTTTATATAGTACTCAGGACATAGCTGAAGGTTTTTGTTGCAATTTTCTGCAAGTAAAATAAATAACTTTTCTAGATAAGAAAATGTGTTATGTGGAGTACTAGAAGGATCAATATTTGACCCGTTATTATTTTTTTAAATTACTGAATGAAAAATCTGAATTTATATGCTGAATAGCTGTAATACTATAATAATATTAGACTTTAGCAACTTGTTTATGACACAAGTTTTGTGAGTATCTATTTACAGAATTATTAAATGTTAAATATGATTTTACGTGAGGGCACTCTCAACACGACACGCAAGAATGGCACAATTACACAGAAGACAAACACTTTGAGCCCTGAAGATGATCTCAATAAAGATCGAAACGTTGGCACGATAAAGAAAATGTTTTTCTGAAACCTACATCACACCAGACCGCATCTCACGATTTCTGAATAATTATCCAGTACATTGGTTTCTGCTTAAAGACTTAAGCACGGATTTTTAAAATTTGTAAAACAGAATTATTGAAAAGCCATTTTACAGGTTTGATCAAATCAAATTCATCCATTCGCAAATTACATTCACTCTTTTGCAAATAAAATTAATCATTTTACTAATTAAATTCACTTGAGGGAGAATTTAATTTGCAAAGGGTGAATTTGTTTTTAAAAACGGTTAATTTGAAAAAAGGTAATTTGATTAGCAAAATAGAGAATTTGAATTGCAAAAGGGTGACTTGTTTGCAAAAAAGTGAATTTAATTTGCAAAAACGTGAATTTGATTTTCAAACGAGCTAATTTGATTTGCAAAGCGGTAAATTTGATTTGCAAATGGGTGAATTTAATTTGGAAAAGAGTGAATGTGATTTGCAAAAGGATGGATTTGTGAAGCATAAGTGTAAGTTGATTTTCAAAAGGGAAAATATGGTAAGAAAAAGGGTGAAATACATTTGCAAAAAGGTGAATTTTATTTGCAAAAGGGTACATTTGATTTGCAAAAGGGTGACATATTCGCAAAAGGGATAATTTAATTTTCAAGGGTGAATTTGTTTTTCAAAAGGGTGCATTTAATTTAAAAAAAAGAGTGAGTTTCATTTGCAAAAGGGTAAATTTGATTCGCAAAAGGGAGAATTTAATTTTATTTGAAGAGATAATTGTATTTGAAAAAGGTTAAATTTGATTTTCAAAAAGGGTGAATTTCCTTCATCAAATAGTGAATTTGATTTTAAAAACCTTTATGTATGAGATATGAAAATGATTAAACTGTATCGTGTTATTATTTTATTGTACGTTTATTGTAGACCAGCATGGAAAAAATTTAATTTTCTCTGCAAATAATCAAATAAGTAAATAAAAATACATAGAAAATAGTCCTGAAATTGAATCTACCTCTGATTTAACGTAATCCCCGTCTTTGTAAACGTTGGGGCGACCATTTTCACCACGATTGTTTGTAAACAGTTTTACAATTCTAAAACGCGACGTGAGATTTCATATTTTACACCCAACAGTACAATTACCAAGGATTGTTTGAGTATCAAAAAAATGACAATAAGCTATATTTGCTTATTATTTTAAAACCAGTTTTAGCTACAGGAGAACAAGAATGAGGCCCTACAATACGCTTTGTTTAAAAATGACCGCTGCAATGTGATATAAATTGTTTATTTGATAGATTTAGAAACTGTGTAGTAGAACATATGGTAATAGATGGAAAAAGAACTCCATATTGGAACATTTTAAGTGTTAAATTTTTAAAAGTGGTAAGCAAAAAATGCCATGTAAGGTGCTAAAACGTGTCGGATGTATCTAAATTTCTAAGGATTTTTATGTTTGGAAAAAAGGATTGGTTTTTCCTTTGCCAACGGGTTTCGAGTTAGAAGAAAAATTACCGTATTTACCGGCGCTTTGTCGACTTTCCTAAAACACTTGTTGAGGGAGAGATTGTGCCTGACCGAGTTTTTCCATCCGGTCGGGGCGTTTCTGTAGTAGGGAAAGTGGTCCAGGATCCAAGTGTAGATCTCCTTGACTGGTAGCGCCTTCCCCTTCGAGTCTTCAATGGACATAAAAATGAGACAGGAGAAAGAATAGGGTGGCTTCGAGGTGATGTGTATCTAAAAAAAAAGAAAAAGAACCGTTGAAACTGTAAAACCCAGTCTACCTCGAAATCTACCTTTGGGTCGTAAGGTATATGATGGGGGTGTTTATTCTTGACGGCTTGAGGGAAATTCGGGCTCGAATGGGCAGGAGGGCCCGGCGCAGCAGGCACAGGACTGGAAGAAGTGACGCTGGAGCAGGTCGACTCGCTCTGCTCGCTCGGGCAGTCCTCGGTGTAGTCAGAAGTCGGGGATTCCTGCTTCAGAACCTGGCCGGCCGTCCCGTTCGCCTGCCCGCCTGGAGTCCCGTTCGCTCCTGTTCTCAAATTCATACCTGGAAAAGAGTTCCGATTAATCGGTAAGTGACTCCTGTAAAACTCGCCCGTTCTCCGGCGGTATTGGAAACCGGTCGTCATGGGGATAACAAAACGCGAGTTCTAGTTTCTTACCCCCTCGTTATTTACGCTTCGATTTTTCCTGCAAACTTTACTTCTGCGGTCCGGCTAACCTTTTGGCCCAGCCGTTTTGCAAAAGGTATTAAAAAAACTGTTAATAAAAATAACCAGGAGGACTGTGAACAATTTTCTTAGGAAGAATACGGTTTTCATTTTTTCAACATTTTCATATTCGTTTTCTCGTTCGATTTTTCACATCAGACACAATGAACGATAAATTCTAACAGCCCAGCAAGCCGTTCCATTACGATAACCTATTTTCTTCTCGACTATGCGAACCAGACGGCCTTTGAACCGGTCTCGATGCAAATTCGCCTCAACAAACTTCAAATAAAAGCTCGAATTTATTTAACTGACAAAATGGGCCTTTTTTTGGATTAAAATTTGGTCGAATTGATACCGGGATTGCATCAATTTCCCCATGCAAACTGTCAGTTTAAAAGGAACAGCTGCCAAATACGAATGCGAAAAGAGAAGACATAATATTTCAATGTCAGATCGATAAATAAACAAAGTTCAAATGATTAATTGATGGCGGAATTTCTTTTAGATACAACGTAAAACAAAAGCAACGATAGATTTATACAAATACAAAACACACACACACACACCAAAGAATACAGAAGAGACTGAAAACATCTTTCCGGCTTAAACTTAAATTATTTTTGGATTAAATGTTGTATCTGCTATTGCATATTGTCTATATATTTGGATAAATTTTGTTAAGATACTATGTACTTTCTCAAATTTGGTTATGGAACGATCTCCCCACCCTTCAGCGCTTTTCTTTTGTTTGACTGTTTACTATATTTTCTTTGGTGTTTGATCAGCCTTCTCAGTTGGCTATCCGTTATCTACACACATGTACCTGTTCATATAATATAACGATTTTTTTCGAAGTCCTGATGAAGGCGATATATTCTGCCGAAAGCTCGACAAGAAAATAAATGTTGTTTCTGTCTTCCTGGCCTCATCCCCAATCTACCTTTAGGAAAGTATATTTAAACTGTTTATTATGCTTAATCTAATGCAATAATTATTAAATTTTTACATAACTTAATTACTAAACGAGATAACATTAGCTTATTTAATGTTATAATTTTAAACCTTATATTTTAAGCGGTCATAATTGACCTATTTAATTATTTCAATTAATTATTTTAAATACATTTACTATCTGAATTAAACATAGTACACGTAAAACAAGCTTTCTTTTAAGTCTCAACATTCCAAATATGCCGTAAGTCAAAAGTTTATCCAATCAGGCTTATAAGATATCATCTGTTATCGTTTTTCCTTTCTGCACATTCTCAAATTGATAATATGAAGAACTCAAACCTTTCAGCCTTATCGAATCTCTTTGTTTGAATGTGCAGTTTAGGAAATTCACTGTTTGCTTTCATTTCTCAAATCCGATGTGTCGGTTACTAAAAGTTTAACAAAAACAAACATGCAAACTTAATATTATCAGTACAACAAACGTAATTATCAGTAATCGACTTTCCAAATATGCAATAACTCTGAAGTTTATCGTGTCATATCTTTTCTGTACGTTTTGATTTACTATGTAATTGAGAGTGTCAATCGGTGTAAGGTTAAGAAAAACGGCGCACGAGGGTCAGAACTGGTTGTTCCGGTCCGCTAAGTCTCGCTGGTGCCTGGATAAAAGCGCCTTTGAGCACACCGTTATCAAGTGGAAGACTGACGGCAGATACGCGATAAATCCGAAACGGACTTTTCATATGATCTGAAATTTTTTCTTACTAGTCCAACGTCGCCTGATTGGACTGTATTTCTAGTTTACCATAAAGTGGGTAATAATTAAAAATTTATCTTCTAGAGTTGGTAAGAAAACCGTTACGATTAATGGAAGACGGTGGCTTGGAAAGCGTTTAAACTGTGGCGGAACAACACGAACCACGAAATTTGCTGAGAATGTAATCAATTACACAAAACCAGTACGAACAGGTACGGTAAACTGGTTTAACGTTTACGTATAAGATGATTGCAATGCTTAACAAATCATAAATTATCTTTCACGCTGTTTACTTTTTTAAATTAGTTATATGTAGCTGTAACGGGGTCCTTTTTAGATGGCCCGGCTGAATTTCTCTTGAACCAATGACGCTATAAAAAAAATAAAAAATACATGTTTAATATTTTTTAGTCTAGATTCAAATTTTTACCTTTTTTGGAGAAAAATTATTAAGGGGCCCAGTTCAACTTCAAAATTCATCCTGACAAATCATTTCAAAGGATATTTTATGCTGAAAACAATGATGCAATAGGTTTTTAAATTGGTCAAAAATGACAAAATGATTTTATATATTACCAACTCCACGGTTCATATCTTCTCTATTGATAGGTTGAAAAATTCCAAGATCTCCGTGGTTGAAAAACTTTTATTCAATTTAGTAAATTACATGTCGCTTCGGGCTCCTGGCCCATCATCAGAAACTAAACATAGAGAAATCTCATGGTATAATTCTCAATCTGAAGGCACATCCATCAGTAATTACCAATTTTTTAAAATAAAAGTGTTTACACCTGGACTATGCCAATGATACATATATATTATGTATGGTGATTAGTGGCCGTTAATCGATATTTATTTAGAAATCGTGAGATGCGGTCTGGTGTGATATAGGTTTCAGAAAAACATTTTCTTTATCGTGCCAACGTTTCGATCTTTATTGAGATCATCTTCAGGGCTCAATAAAGATCGAAACGTTGGCACGATAAAGAAAATGTTTTTCTGAAACCTACATCACACCAGACCGCATCTCACGATTTCTAAATAAACATATATATTATTTTTCCACCCCTTTATTTGTTGAGGGGTATGTCGTCAAAATTGTTTTAAAACTGTAACAGAATCATATATTTTATTTAAAGTGTATAAATACTTTTATTTAAAAAATTGGAAATTACTGATGGGTGTGCCTTCAGATTGATAATTATACCAAGAGATTTCTCTACGTTTAGTTGCTGATGATGGGCCAGGAGCCCGAGCGACATGTAATTTACTAAATTGAATAAAAGTTTTTCAACCACGGAGATCTTGGAATTTTTCAATCTATCAATAGACAAAGTTATGATAAAATGTTTGAAAAAAAAACAACAGTAATTTGGTTTGCTATTTATTAATCACATTTCATGTTCGCACTGCCTGCCTTGCGTAAAGATGCAAAAATTTGCTCTTTTTAACCACTCTTTACCGGTGCTCAGAGCGATAGAATCAGGGGAGATGGATTGACAAGCATTTTCTATCCTTTGCCGCAGTTCTTCAACTTCAGGTTCAAGTGAGGTTGCTAGGTTATGGTTGGCGTAGACACTGTTTTTTAAATGACCCCACAGAAAATAGTCATCGGGTGACCGAGGAGGCGAACAGTTCGGGCCATGAGGTCCTATCCACCTAACCCGGAAGTGACGATTCAAATAACGTCTCACCTGCAAAGAATTATGTGCGGGCATTAAGCTGAAAAATCATTCTTTGTCGTGGTTGCGGAGGAACATCATCTACTAGTGTTGGTAAAACCTCCCTCACAAAATTGAGGAACTGAGCACCATTTAAATTATTTTCGTAAAAATAAGGCTCAATTAATATATTTCCGAGAAGTCCACACCAAACGTTGATACTGTTAACTACCTGATGATGACAAGAGTACAAAATTCTCGGATTTTCCTCTGCCCACGTTCGAAAATTCCAACGCTTTAGTGTGCAATTAGAGGTGAACTTGGATTCAACATTACATAGGATTTCCTTAGACTCCCAAATCGACTTGCAAGGATGTTAGACGCCTACTTTAATCAGAGTCCGCAGTCCCTGGACAAGATGAGAGAGATACGGCTTAAAATTCTAAGTCCGGAGTATATCTCTTATTTTATTTTTTGAAAAACCTGAAACCCTTCCAACCTTTCCTCGGGAAGAATTAGATTTTTGTGAACATACAGTAAAATATTCAGCTCCTCGTCGAAATTACGCTGCCGGTTTCTTGGTGATGGACCAGCAACTGATCCGTATATCCTCGTATTGCGAGCAACAGGAATAAACGTTTTGTGGTTTACTATGTGGGGATCGGGAAATTTCTGTGAGTACAACTCGACTGCACGACGCCCATTGCCACCACTATGCAGCATAAATAAAACAGTTGTACATATCAACTAGCTGTTGATCGGAAAAATGTGCTCTTCGGTTCATTTTGAATGGAATACTGAATGTAACGAATAGGTGCTATTGTAAAATTTATTTACTTCCAGGAATTAAGATTTGCTCTTATAATGCGAGTTTGGCAAATAGAATGTAAACAATAAAGACAATTAATGTTTACTCTAGTGAAGAAGCAAATCATTGTAACTGACAACGAAACAAACGAAATGCGTTTTTTTTAACATTGTCATTTTTGACCAATTTAAAATCCGATTGCACCATTGTTTTCAGCGAAAAAATCCTTTAAAATGATGTGTAGGGTCGCATTTGAAATTTTGAAGTTCAACTGGGATTCAGGTACCCTGTATAAATTTTCTCCAAAAAAAGGTAAAAATTTGAAACTAGACGAAAAAATATAATAAATAAATAAAAAATAAATAATAAAATACGTATTTTTTTAATAGCGTCATCGGTTCAAGAGAAATGCAGCCTGGCCATCTAAAAGGACACCCTGTACATTCTCCCAGTCTTAAAACTGTCACAATGGCTAGACCTTCACCCAGAGAAACACTGAATATGAGAAATTAAGTGTCGAGGAGTTCTCAGGATGGGAAAATAGATAAGGTTGGGTAGTAGAGTTAGGATGGATCGACAGATATTTGTGAACTTATCGCAGCAGGAGAGGATCAGTTCATTGAAAAAAAGGAAGGTCGTTGTAGATGAGGTTAGTGATATAGTAAGAAGCTCAGACAATATGTCTGTGGATTTTTGATTGGTTGGGTGCGCTGAATATTGGATGGCCTGGCTAAGTCATTCGCAGTTGGAATGGGATTAGAGAAGGTTAAGGCGGGGTTGAAAGGTTAGAATGGAACTTCAGGAAATGGGATCAGGTTTTGAACGAAGGGAAATTGAGGTTAAAAAGTAGGAAGCTTGGTGTAAGCTCCACTTCCTATTTCTATATAGATCGGAGTGATGTTTTGTACAATGTTTGTTTCTTCTTTACAGTCATGCCTAATGTCGGTTTAACAAGTTTTGGTATTGTCTGTTGATTTCTTGTATGAGGATTCCACGCTAGTCTGCTGTTAGATATAGCGATATGTATTCAACGTGCTTTGTCTGTAGTTACTTGCTGTTCCTGTTTGAGTGTTTTTAACGTGATGACTTAACCCTTCAATGAGCTTGAGTAGTGGCTTGGATAGGCTGGGTGTTAAAATTGCAGTATCCAGGATAGGTTGTATGGCTGTTCACGTCAGTCTACTGTCTAGGCATAGTCCTATCTGTCTTGAGTGGAAGTCGGTATAAATACGAACATTTTCCCTAATTCAGTATTGTCCTCCACTTGTTGTTCTTCGATGTTGGAGGTTGCTTGGATGGGATTCGGCTTCGAGTTCTAAGTCACGGTGTTGGGATAGTAAAGACAGGAGTGTAAGTGGTAGAAATGGATCAAGAATGCCCCCTTGTGGGACGACGGCTTGTAATGGTCTGATATCTGAGTATTCGTTGCCGC